TATTTTTTTAATAAAATTGCAGTTTTTGAGACATTTTTTTTAATTTAAATACAATTTTCACACAAAGTATTAACATAAGTATTTTTTTATCTAACTTTAGATACTGTGCATTTACCCGCAAGAAAATTCCATGATTCTGATGATTCTCCTACAGCAATGTCTTTGAACGAAAAGGAACAAATTATATTGAATTCGGGAGAAGAACTCTTTGCTGAGATTAGGTATATTACACATATTTTTCTCTATATGTAGCAATATTTTATATATTTATTCTTCTAGGGATAAAAATTTTAACGGTGTTGGTCCAATTCTTAGTAAGAAAGCTAAAGTCATTTCATCTCAGTTTGATGAAAGACATGGAGACAAAAGTGTACAAGAAATTAAACAATTTGTTGCAAGATTACCACACATGCTGGCCACAAAACAATCTTTAGCAAGACGTAAGTAATAAAATGCATTTAAATTTATTTTCTGATATTTTTTGGCATTTATTACTTATATTTTAATAATTTATAATCTTTTTAATTAGACACTACAATCGCGGAAATGATAAAAGAAATAACTGATTCGAGCAATTTCCTAGAATCATTGAGTGTCGAGCAAGAACTATTATATTGTATTGATACAGATAAACCAAATACATACATTGAGGATATGATAGCACAGCAACAACCATTACTCAAAGTTTTACGTCTCCTTTGCATACAATCGTTAACAAATTCTGGTTTGAAACCAAAACTATTAAATTATTATAAAAAGAAATAATTGACACTTATGGATTTCAACATTTGCCAACTATATTAAACTTGGAAAAAGCTGGATTATTAAAACAACAACAATCAGTGCGTCAATATACTGTTTTAAGGAAAGCATTAAGACTTACTGTCGAGGACGAGAATGAAATAACACCAAAAGACATCAGTTACGTACATTCTATATATGCACCACTAAGCGTGAGACTGGCAGAGCAACTAGTACAACCAAACGGTTGGCAAGGATTGAACGACGTAATGGAATTATTGCCAGGACCTACAGTAAGCAATGTCCCGTATAATGTATCTTCATCGGCAAGACGTATGTTAAATTTATATTTTACTATATACATAACTTATTTTTTTAATGTATTTTTCTTAAAATATAAATATTTATTTTAGGTAATTCTATTACTAGCGAAGATTCTAGTTCGGAATCACCGAAATTGATTCTGGTATTTTTTATTGGAGGGTGTACTTTTGCCGAAATATCTGCTCTTCGATTTCTATCGCAACAAGAAGACTGTAAGTATTGTAATAGAACAGCTTATTTGTGTGAATTAATAAATGAATGTGAAAATATATAAATATAATATAAAAATCTGTTTTCAGTAAATGTTGAATTTGTCGTGGGAACTACTAGTTTAATCAATGGCAATACATTTCTTATTTCTTTGATGGAAGATTTAGAACACAAGTGAAAAAAAAAAAATTGCTTAAATA